ACCCCTTAAAAGCACAATTTAAATGATTGATTTTGGGGTATGAGCTCACCTGATGTGGGTAAATCAAACAAATACACGTGTAAGGATGAGAAGCTCCACGAATGAACTCCCGAGACTTAATGAGTCGTAAATGACATATAACAGAATATATTGATATAAATATAGCATTTAGAAGCAACCGAATGCAAGGAAACACTTTGATCAAGTGTTGGAATCACATGTGGTAGAACTAAGGGGAGTGTACGACCACTTTGATGAGTGTGCGACCGCACACTCATGGTAAAGAGTGCACAAAATTGTTTTCCAAGGGTAGGGAGGCTTGTAGGACAATTACTCTTCAAGTGGTGAAGCTGGAATGCACTTTGAAGGCCCCTTTAAGGGTGTTTTGAGGAATGTATTGCCACACATGGGTGTGCGGCCGCACTCACCATATGATCATAAATTATGGGAATTTTTAAGAGATTAAACTAGTGTTAAAAAAGTATTAAGCAATAGCGAAAGAGTACTTACGTTCTTGAAGATCTAGACTGAAAATCGGATGCTAGTTAAGAGAGAAATCGAATTCTAGACTTTGGAGGGTGAAAAGGAATGAAAGGAGGCTGATATCTATACTTATACATGTGAGTGTGCTGATAAGAGAGGGGTGTGCGGGCATACACTCCTTATGTTGGAGTGTAAGGCTCAATTTTGTTGCTTTACGTGTACGCGATGTGCTGAGCTTTGAACCTTTGAACAAACTCTAAACAAGGCTAAATGATAGTAGGAACGAGTCTGACACTCAGTTGAGTTGACTGCTAGACTTATAGAAATTTTTTTTCGGGTTGTCACATCAAATCCCCGTTAGATGGAATTTCGTCCCGAAATTAGCTTTCTTACAGTACTACTGGAGTTGCGCTCCTCTGATTTGCAGAATGCTCACTCGTAGACCTGGCAATTCTGCCCTAGTGTTCATGATTGGACTCATATTCGGTCCATCTATCATTACCTCATGTATACAAGTCGTATATAATTAGGATTAGTAAGATGGTCGGATCTGTGACTTTGCCCTAGGTCCACAACCAAACAAGGAACATGAGATAGGGTAGAAACACATATACTAGATCTGCGTAATCATAATCATATATCACCCTCGCGGATACACTGAATAGTGATAGGTGGGCTGTATTCGTCCTTATGCTCTGTGCTCGAACTTGGTCTGCTGGACAAGTGGTATTTCGTGACGGTCTGTGGACATCTGACAATAAGGCTTCGGAGGACAAAATACCCTTTGCACGAGTACTTCGGGGTTTAGAATACGAAAGATAAAATTGAGGTTTAAGTCGGACTGTCGATACGAATGATGAAGGTTTCGAGAACTTGACGATCGAGGCGATAGAAACGTATGAACTTAGTATGGTGAGGACCATGTCAACTCATGACAAATGATAGTAACAGACTCTTTATTGAACAAAGTTTTGGCTGGTTTGAAAGAAACGTCTGTTATACAATGATGTAATGTTAGTATGTTTCACAATGTATTCTTTGTAAATGTTCTAGTGCTTTCATTTTTTCCCCTGATTGTAAAACTTCTATGTATCGTACCACTATGTGCGAGTACATACAATGAAAGTGTTTTGATAACTAATGTCGATACTTTATACTACAATCCTACTTGGTACTAGTACGATCGCCTGTTATATACAAGTTATGAATAATTAAGATAAATAAGATAGTGGACTGAGTAACTCTGCCTCAAATCCACAACCAAACAAGGAACATGAATTAAGGCCGACTCACTCACTCTCAGTCTGCAACATCTTGGCTAGGCAAAACCCTGATGTATATGCTAAGCCATCATAGCTTCTCTGAACGGATCTTTTAGTTCTCTTGGATATTGTGATCTATTTCAATACGAGAGTTATTATAATTACTTTTTAAGTGGTTTTCCCCAAGTTTTAATCCTATATAAATGTAAATTAATTTATTTTTAAAGTAATTACTATTTCGAAAACGTATCGTTGCTCGCTGGCGACTCCGGGGTTGATTTTCCTGCGATCATCATCAAAATGCGTCCATCTGTGCCTGAGTTCTTCAGTATCGGCCAGTCCCTCTGGCAGTGTCCAGTCTCGCAACAGCCATAGTCGGCTTGATTTTAATCAACTCTAGGGATTTGTGAGATCAGTTGAGCTGGTGACCTGCAGAAACGGACTGTGTGCCCCTTTCTCTGGCAGTTCAGACACTGCATTTCCCAGCATACCCCGGTGTGGTGATAGTTTCACTTCCCACATTTCAAAAGGCTTCCGGCATATCGACTGGCATGTGCTAGAGCAGCAGGCATTGTAGCGGCGTACATAGTACTCATTTGTTTCTCTTGTGGGGGTTCCTGTGTTGTTCGCTTCTTCTTCATCTTATTCCCCTACTTCCTATTATAGTGATTTCCCTTTGATGGCTCGGGAACTGGGACTTCCACTCCATGGTGGACTCCCTGGTCGATGAGGCGCTGGGCCAAGCATTTCGCACGATCGAATGTGGCTGGGTTATAAGACAACACATCTCCTTGGGTAGTGGCAGTTAGACCCCAGATGTACCTTTCTATCTTCTTACGCTATGGAGTAACCATCTCAGGGCATAGTGCTGCCAGGTCGCAAAACCTGTCAGTGTAGGTCACTAAGTCTGAGCCAACCATATTGAGCTCCCATAGCTCTTGTTCCAGCTTTTGTACTTCGCCCCTTGGGCAGAATTCTTCCAGCATCATCTCTTTTAGGTTCTCCCAAACCATTGAGTTACCCAATGATAGAGTTAGTGACTTAACATGGGTATTCCACCATGTTAGGGCTCTGCCGATGAAGGTGCAGGCAGCAAACTTCACTTTGCTCCTTTTTGGGCATGAACAGATTGCGAAGACCGAATCTATTTTCTCGAACCATCGCATCATAGCGATGATTCCTCTATTTCCATTGAAGGATTTGGGTTTGCAGCTCATGACATCTTTATACGAACACTCCCATGGGTGTTCGTGGGTATCTCTGTGGTTGGTTGATTGAGCACCGCTATAAGATCCACTGATACCATTTGCGTGAATTTGGGTTAGCACGACTATGTTGCTACTGTTACCACTGCCTGGAAAGCAGCTAGGTCGAACTGTGGTGGTGGATTCTCTGTCGTGCTGTTGACTATGCGTTTCATTAGCCTACCGCAAGGCATCTTTTGCTAAGGATAAAAATATGAGATGAGATAAGTCTATAGCAGTGGAGATAAGCCGAAAGCTGAAAGACAAGGTTATCTTAGTTCTGAATGTATCGGGTCCTGACTTCCACATGGTTCTGGAAACGATTCATAAAAGAGTTTATACCGAATAAAGTTTATGAATGAGAGAGGCTATCCTCGAATGAATATGTGTTACCTGAATAACTGTTACCAGTTGTATGTAAAGGAAATAATCCTAACACATACGGTGAGTAGTGTTCCTACTAACTCATTAAGTTAACCAAGATTATTAGTTATTAGTGTGATGCATATGACGTTCCGGTTACTTCGGCTGATCCCTCCTTGAGAACTTCTTTTGAACTTGCTCTTCTTCCTTCTTGACTCTTTTGCCGACTACTATGAGGAAGTGGTTACATCTATCTGGTTTTGTCGTGCGAGAATGGGAGTGTCTAAAGAATCTACGAGATTAAAGTTAACTTTATAGGGTGATCCTTACAAAGTCTTTCTATAATCGTACAATACATACAAGTTGTATGTGATTTAAGATTAAATAGACCTTCGAATAAGTGATCCTACTGCAAAACCACAACCAAACAAGGAACATGTAGTGAAGCCTAGATCACAAATTCTACGTCTATAAAATCTCAATTATATAAAACATTGGAAGTATATGTTGCAAGATTATAGACCTATCTATAAGGGTCTTTTAAGTTATCACATTAGTTATTTATATAGTGCTGAAAATACTCCTATAGTATTTTAATGTAATGTACTTAGTATGTTTCAAACTTGTTATCGTGTTATACTATCATATAATACTCCTATGGTATTCTAACTTTCATGTTCTAATCTAGAGATCCTTTGTATAGAGTTAGGTAAGTTTTAACACCATTGCAACACTACATCACTCCCAAGCACATGTCAGTCGCATCTCAAATGAATATAGTTGATCAGGCTATATTGATCTCAGATACAATTACATAACTGCCCAGGTTTGACCTCAATATGCCACCCTTAAATACTTAAGTTCTATTCTTCTTATGATATTTGTTCTAGTAAGTACATGTATAAGCAAGTCGGTATATTTTTATAACTTATTGTTATATTTTTAAAATATATTATTATCCAGGGAACTTAAGCCCCATTGTATTTATAGTTGTATATCTTTTATCGGTTGATATACTTAGTTCACTATAAACAATGTTGTGATACCAATCTGTCACACCCCAAAACTGGAATGGCGGAAACGTTCAGGGGCGGAGGATGTCATGTTTAGTATCATAAGACAAGTATCATAGTAAGTAAAGTAATGGACAACTATTTCATTAGAAAGAAAGTTTTTACAATGTGTGTGTTCACAAAACATAGAGTACATAAGCAAATAACAAAACAAGACTTGGACCTATATTGCTCCATCTTTTGAATTCCCAGTGCGAGTAACTGTCCACTAGTTCCCTAATTAGGGAGCGGATGGAGCTGGTTCTATGGATTCAATGGTGAAGGGAACTAAAGTGGTCATTTATGAGAAGATTATTCGAGATGTACTTAATTTTGATGATGTTACTGCATTTTAAATTGCGTACCATATTAATCAAGTGAAGCAAGTCCTTGAGAAAATGTGATATGAAGGAACCTACCCTCCTACCCTTAAGAAGCTGCTACCACCTTACTGGATGTTTTTGGCACACTATTTTATAAGTTGCATTTCTAGAAATAAGAGTGGACTTGATCAGGTTAGTCAGACTGCAACCCAACCATTGTTGCATTAACAATGAATTGGGATTACAACTTTTTCAAATTATGTTTTTGGAGAAATGAAAAGTAATCTCCAAGGGAAGTAGAAGGATTTTTTTTAATGTATCTCAGGTTTCTTCAGGTGATTTTGAATGAAAGATATCCCCAGATCGAGAGATCTTCTGATACCTTGGATATGAAAGCTTTGTGTCCTAACACTTTTGGGCTCATGAAGCAATCAAGACAAGCTACCAAAGTCGTTTTTCAATGATTAAAAGAGTTTGTTAAATTTGGAAAGTTTGCTGAGATAGAAGGTGTTTAAACTTCAAGTGCTCAAATTGTTGTTGTAGCCGAAGAGCACGTGGTGCCATCAAGACCAAATCTCAGTTCTTCATTTGAAGTTTCTGATGATGATGATGATGATGATGAGAGTGATAGTGATGCCGATGGTATGGATTTTCGTATGTTTGTGCCGACGAAGGAGCCAGTGAATGTGGCTGTGATTTCTCCAGCTGAGACAGAAAAGGAAATGAAGATTTTTAAGAAACAAAACGACCCTATGCCCGAACAGATGGAAATTCTTATTGACAAATTACAGTCAACTACAAGGAATCCTCTCCAAGCAGTTTCTGTTACTTCTGAGTCTCCATCTGGGAGTGATAAAGACAATTCAAAAGCCTCTCTGCTGCCACGAAAGCAAAAACATAGAGATCCAAGGTCGAGAGTACTTTTTTACTAAATCAGTACAGCAACCTTTTCAGATGGTTAAGTCCACTCAAGTTACTCATAATGTTCAAAGACTGATTATTGAGCCCACTTAAGTTATTCAAGATGTTCAAAGCCTAATCATTGAAGCAACCCCGGTTCAAGAAGATGTTCATAGTCAAATGGCTAATGAGAAACCATTTGATTCTAAACATAACATGCCGTATCGATGGCTTCATAAAGAAATTTAGATTGATATCGTATAAAATCCATAGTATTGGGACTTACAAATTACCACTGCGGTTTATGGTTATACAATTTCTGTGTGTATGATCTTAAATTCGTTATCAACAAGAATTGAATGAAACCCAAAATCCAAGACATATTTATGAATTTATGGTGAATAATTTAAATATTCTAGCTTTTTACCAAGGAATTAACAAATGATCACCTTCGTGGTTTGTACCTGTTTTTTTTTTTTTTTTTTTTTTTTTTTTTTTTTTTTTTGCGATCTTGATGAAATGTTCTAGTCCTAAGATGTTTCTTCCTAATAGATCTAGTTTTTTTTTTTTTTTCTTGAGGTTTCTATACGTATTCCTGTCACTTGAAATAATTCCCAAGCGTACTTGTTCTTATGACTACACTGTTCAAACAACTACTTCATACGAATGTTCAGACTTATGTTGAGTTTCAGACTTAGTTGAAGAAGAAGCCACCTCTTTCGCCTAACTAAATGAAGACTTTCACTGTTTCTCCATAAACAAATGATTGTAATTCAATGGGAGACTACACATGCTTTTCAAAGTCTCTCTTCACTGTGAAGAAGAGATCGTTGCCTAGGATCCATCTACTTTATGTCTTCAATGACATCACTAGAATCACTAAGAAAACTTGATTTATTTCTTTATCTTTGGCATACTCTTGCACAAAGATCTTTATGATTTTCAAACATCTAGTTCGTTGTCGTACTGGTAACTTTCAAGTTTGGAATACTGTAAATGGTGATCAATTGCGAATGTATAAAGCTACAAAAGTCAGTATCTGAAAGGATGATTCTAAGGGATAAGATTTGGAATGAGGCGTGTGCAATTTGAAACTATTCCTGACATCACGCCAACAGTTGTGCCGCCTGACGCATGCGTGCTACAAGTCAGCCTGTTTGCGCTTTTTCGATAAATTTTTCTTGGTATTGAAGTGTCAAACGTTTCTTTTCTCTCTCCTGGCATACGATATAAAATGTTTTTACCTATTCATTTTTCATTACCACTCTCAAAGACCCCTTCTGTTGCAGAGAAAATGGCACAATCATCGATTCTTAACCTCAAGGCAAACCAAAATCTTATTCTGGAGCTTGACCTGACCGAATATGATGGATTTCTTCAACCACTCATCGAGTGTCTCTGATATTCCCCACTGTTCATCGCTCTCACCAAATCTGAAATCGTTCCCTTGGTTCATCTGTCCATGGCGTACTCGACTTCAAGTTATCAAAGAAGGTGAGGAGTTGATTTCATTTAAAATCTTCAACAAGAAAACGAAAATCATCAAATCCCAGTTTCGTATCCTGCTAGGACTTCCTCAAAGTCCCAACCAAGTTGACCCTGAGACCGTCTCCAACTCTTCTATCTTGGAGATGTTTTATCAGGTGGGATACAAGGATGTTTGGACTGCTGTTTCAAAGTTCAAGAAGCCTAATTTTCCACCGATGTGGAATGGGTTGTTTACCCTTATCTTCAAGAGTTTTTCAGAGAGGGTTACTGGCTCTGATTGTGTGAACAAACTTTTCATGACGATTATGTATGATATCTTCTCTATAATCAACCTTGATTATGGTTCTGTTGTTACACTCTAAATTTTCAAATAAAAATTTCATTTTTAAATCAACACAAAAACATAGTTTAACATGTCTCAAACCTAACTTGTAATTGTTTCAAACAAAAAACAGTAGATTGTTTGTCATTATCCAAGAATCCTCAAAGCACAAATCAACTACTTGGTGTGTATAGTCATGCCGACGCCTTCCCGCAATCCTAAGATGTACCTGAAACACATTTCACACAACACTGTAAGCACAAAGCTTAGTAAGTTCCCCAAAATATAACACACAAATAATTGGCCTCTCATGGCTATAACTCGATAAGGATCCTCTGGTCACGTGTCTCAGTGAAGACCCTCCGGTCTTATAGCTCGGTTTGGACCCTCTAGTCATGTATCTGAGTGAAGACCCTCTGATCTCACAACTCAATTTGGACCCTCTGATCCTAACTCAATAAGGCACAAAATAGTATACAACATAAATCAGGAAGACATATTGCATAATATCACATAACTCAGTATAGGCACATAAGACCCTCTAGTCAATAACTCAAATAAGACCCTCTAGTCACACATTATTACCACTGAGATAAGTATAGTGAGAAGACATACATTGTAAGTAAAGAAAGGATGTATCGTACTCAATGGTCAGTCTAGAATCCGCCTGAAAATGGGCGCTAGAACAGAACAAATGCCTGATCTAAAGTCTCCTCCTTGTTCCAGGCCCTTAAGTCGTCAAGTTTCTGGGAATCGGGATGATAAAATTCTCCCCCACTAGAAACAGACTCCACCCTCAAATTCATTCTCTGGAAATAGCTTTGGGTACTGCACACGCATCTCAGACTTCGGCTGCTAAGTCGACTCGGATCCCCTTCGATGCTGCCACTGAACCTTAACCTAGGGTACCTCATTATTCCTCAAGACCTTCACCTTCTTATCCAAAATCGCCACCAACTTCTCAATGTAATTCAGTTCATCATCAAACTAAATGTCCTATAAAGGGACCATTGTCGTCTCATTGGCTACACACTTCCTCAGCTGGGATACATGGAAGGTGTTATAAATCTGGGTCACCTCTGCAGGAAACTCTAAGCGATAAGCTACCTTACCTACTCACGCAATAAAACTAAAAGTACTAATGTATCTAAGGCCTAGCTTGCCCCGCTTCTTGAATCAGATCACCCCTTTCCATGGGGATAACTTCAGGAGGACAAAATCGCTGACCTGGAACTCTAGCTCGGAACGTCTCCAGTCTAAGTAACTCTTCTAAAGACTTTGCTCCGTTAGCAATCTCTGTCTAACCTTCTGGATTCGCTCTGTCGTCTTGAGCACTATCTCAGTGCTCCCCATCATTCTCTGCCCGAACTCCCCCCAACAGATGGTTGTCTGACACCTCCTCCCATATAAAAGCTCAAAGGGACGAATCCCGATACTAGAGTGATGACTTTTGTTGTATGAAAACTTCTCCAAGTGCAGGTAGGTGTCCCAACTCCCACGGAAGTCCATAACACATGCGCGTAGCATGTCCGTGAATGTTTGAATCATCCGATCGTTCTGCCCATCTGTCTGTAGGTGGTATGCGGTGCTGAAATGTAGCCGGGTACACAACTCCTCATGAAATTTCTTCCAGAACCTGGAAGTAAAACGTACATCACGATCTGACACTATCAATATTGGTATCCCATGCCGTGCCACCACCTCTTGAACATAGACCTTGACCAATTTCTCTATAGAAGAGCTCTCACATATAGCCAGGAAGTGAGCACTCTTCGTCAACCAATCTACAATCACCCATATCACATCGACACCCCTCACAGTCTTTGGTAACTTGGTAAGAAATTCCATGGAGATCTATTCCCACTTCCACATGAGAATCTCCAAAGGCTGTAACTAGTAGTGGGAACGCTGGTGCTCTGCCTTGACCTAAGGCCAGGTCAATCATCTCTTGACTATCCATGCCACATCTATCTTCATACAGGGCCACCAAGAATCCTTTATCAATTCTAAATACATCTTGGTGGCCCTAGAGTGGATCAAGAATCTTGATCTACGAGCCTCATCCATCAAAGTACATTGGGTTCCACCCGTATATGGCACCCATATCCACCCATAGAAGGTCATAAGCCCCTATCTATCAACCTCAAACTCCAAAATCAGCCCGAGCAACCACTCTGTCTTACAGTTATCTGGTCTCAAGAACACAGCTTGGGCCACTCGGATGGATGCATCACAGTAGACTATGAAAGTCCTCTACTCCCTCCGGACGGGCTAACACTGGTGCTTCTCAAAATCTCTGGCAAAGAGTCTCGAATGATGCCTACTACTCAGGCCCCTAAGTAAAGATAACCCTATTCCTGGTCAATCCGGTGAGAGGAATAGAAATCTTGGAGAAATCTCAAATAAACCACTGATAGTATCCTGCCAGACCTAGAAAACTCCTGATCTCGGATGGGGACCTCGGCACCCCCCACCACATAACAACCTTAATTTTGGTCGGCTAGACTAAAATCCCATTCTGATTAATGAGTTGTCCCAAAAACTAGACCTTTCATAACCATAAATCATACTTGGAGAATTTGGCATAAAGCCTCTCCACCCTCAACACTCCAAGTATCTCCCGAAGGTTCTCCTTGTGTTGTTCCCTAGAACTCGAGTGCACCAAAATATCATCAATGAACACGATCACCGACCGATCCAATATGGGCCGACACACCCGGTTCATGAGGTCCATGAACGCTTCCAGTGTATTGGTAAGACCGAAAGGCATAACCACAAACTCGTAATGCCCATAACGAGTCTGAAAGGTCGTCTTCTGGATATCCTCCTCACAGACTCTCATCTGATGATACCTACATCTCAAATCAATCTTGGATAACCAAGATGCCCCTGTAATTGATCAAAAAAATCTTCAATCCTTGGTACTGGATCACGGTTATTGACCGTTGGCTTGTTCAACTCCCGGTAGCCTATGCACATCCGGTGTGAACCATCATTTATTTGACAAAAGGATTGTCGCTCCCCATGATGAGCTACTCGGTCTAATAAAACCCTTCCACGAACTGCGAGGATAACTCCTGCATCTCTTAGGAGGAACACTCGACAATTCCTTGAGGAAAACATCTGGGAACTCACATACCACTGAAACATCGGACACAAAACTCGGCCAGTCTATGACAACCCATGTATCTATTACACATGCTTAAAGCCCATGCATCCATG